GTTTATAATATTATTAATCGGGCAGGAAACTTGTTGAAAGCTGGTGGACTCTATGCCAAAACGTATAGCAACGATCAAAAATGCCAAAGGGAGACCAACAAAGTACTAGTGATTACTTTTTTGTCAAAGAAAATTAGCTGTTTGATTTTCGATGAAAAATGAAATTTTGATTTTTGATGTTTGATTTTTTTAAGTTTTATTTTATTTCGAAAAATATCAATAAACCCATTTTAGTTTTTAAATATTTTTCTAAATTTTGTAACATATTTTATGCATTTACTCTGACGAATGCATATAAAATAGGTTTACGATTTTCAGTGACTCACATTGTATTTATGTATGTATGTATGTATAGTTTTTATTTAAACATTACCTCCACTATATTTATGAGAATTATAGACCGAAACTCCATCCAAAATGTAGGAAGACCTCAGGAGCGTGTTTCTTTTTAAGTGATCACTTATAACATCCAAATCTTTTCTTTTTTTTAGAATCCGTTCATTCAGCGCTTTGGAATATAGGAATTCTCTTCTCTGTCTTGCCTGTTTCCTTAGCATTCTTATTTTTCCGTAAAGTGCCTTACCACGCGAATCTATATCTGAATATTAGCGTTTTAAATATCGATATTTTCAAAGGTAAGTAACACAAATAACCTTTGAAAGATACTTGTCATTATTTCTAAAAATCAATGATGTCAAAATAACCGGATTTTTGGAAATGGAACAAAAACGGTATATATTAATTTGCACAAACAACACATAGACTAGACATGTAGAGCAACGTTTTTCCACGCCGCAACATCTGTCTAGCAAGTCCTGGCCAACTTCGTATTCGCTCGGCTTGGTATTGGATGGCTCGGGTAATGAAAGATAGCACGACGAAATCAGTGCGCTCTAAGCACGCAAACGAAATGGTCATGTATGCGCTTTGCGTTTTTTGTCTTACTCTCCCTCTCTCTCTCTNCCGTTGGTCTGCCTTGTGAAGTGAGCACATGCATACATACATTTGTGTATGTGTATGCTTGTATGGGATGGCAAGCTAATTGTCTCTGGATTTAGTAGTTTGTAAATTTTGTATGATTTGAATCGTAGGGTGACTATCAAATGGGCCATTATGACTTAATTAGAAATTTTTGACAATAATGAGTAAAGCTTGAGTATAATATGACATGTGTATTTCATATATTGCAAAGCATTTAATAAAGTTAGTAGTGTTTTACGATAATTTTTTCGGTTGAAAATGTGTATAAAATAATTTTAATTATATATAATTATTTACGGATATAAACACATTTATAAACATGATTAGCAATAATAATATATAAATGTACTTATGTACATATGTATGTTCATACATAGTACATCTGTGTAAAGTGGTTATGACAGTTCGTAAGACCGACCAAATGCAAATGCTGGGCTTCAAAATTGCTACAAGCAGCCAGAGCTTCACACACAGGCACACACGGCGCGAATACATATTCTTTATGCGTATCAACGCTTTCATACCCTTCCCACAAATAATCATCGAAGCGCTTACAGTTTGTTTGCATGAGCGTGGCAAAAGCCTTTTAAGATTTCGGTATACTCTTCACTCAAAAGGAAAGAGCTGGTGAGCTTGATGGTTTGAGTGATCATAGAGAGATAGTGTGTTAGATAGAGTGGGACAAATAGCACAAAGCGCATTCAAGGGAACCATTTCGTTTGCGTGCTTGCAGCGCACTGATTTCGTCGTGCTATGTTTCATTACCCGAGCCACAAATTCCGAGCCGAACGAATACGAAGTTGTTTGGGACCTACGATATACATTTTCAGCGCGCAAAAAATTTGTTCTAGATGTCTAGTCCATCTGTTATTTGGTTAGTGCACTAACCACAGAACACATAGACCGGACAAGTAGTGTAAAGCGTTTTGCAAACTTTTTTGGCAGTTATCTCCCAGACCACTTCATATTTTCTCGGCTCTTCACTTTTAGGTTCGGGTTACGAAAATATACGAAAGCACAATCATTTTTCATGCGCTCGACCGAGATGGTCAAATATTGAACAAAAGAAACCACTATGCTCAATTTTTTCTTGCTGTCTTTCTCTCTCTCTCTCTCTCTCTCTCTGTTCTCTGCTCTCTCAAATATGTATATGTATGTATGCATGTGAGCACACGAAAATTGAAATTTCGTCGCCTTAGACTCCCGTTTCTTTCCTTCTGTGTGAAGAGTATACCTATCTTTTAAAATCGTTTGCCATGCTCGTACTAAATATTTGCGTTTTCGTTATTATTTGTGGGAAAAGTATGTAAGCGTTGGTGCGCATAATGAAAATACCTTCGCGACGAGCATGCATACACACACAATGTCCCTTGCTACATGTACTTTGAGCATTTGTATGCCTGTGTGTGAAGCTCTGGCTGCCTGTAGCAATTTTGAAGCCCAGCATTTCCATTTGGTCGATTTTGTGAAGTGCTCACATAATATAACTCCCGAAAAAATGTGTGCAAAACGCTTTACACTATTTGTCCGGTCTATGTGTTCCTTGGTTACTGGTACAAGCTTTTAGAAAGAAGTTACTATCTTGACAAGCTCTGTTTGAACGATTAACGATAACATATTAAAAAACATATTTGGTACCTACTTCCGCTTGCCTGCCAATTCCTCCTTTCGTTTTGAGCTGCGCTGTGAAAGGTACGTATGTTCGTATCAATTGGTTATCTAAAGACATCAGATTATTATATGTTCTTAATTATTAATCGATAAAGTAGATTCATTACGAATCCTTCCATTAATTAGTTTGAATATGTCTAGAAATTCTAAACTATTAATTTCAATATTTTTAGATTCAATATGGGTCGTCGGCCAGCTAGATGGTATGTTCATGTATTAATCATATCCATTCACTTAAGTTTTACTTAACTCAATTTTTGTGTTTTAGTTACCGATACTGTAAAAACAAGCCCTATCCTAAGTCAAGATTTTGTCGTGGTGTACCCGACCCAAAAATTCGAATTTTTGATTTAGGTAGGAAAAAGGCAACTGTCGAGGACTTTCCCTTATGTGTGCATTTGGTGTCCGATGAGTATGAACAATTGAGTAGTGAGGCTTTAGAAGCTGGACGCATTTGCTGTAACAAGTACTTGGTGAAGTTCTGTGGAAAGGATCAATTTCATATCCGCATGCGCTTGCATCCGTTCCACGTCATTCGCATCAACAAAATGTTGTCATGTGCTGGAGCTGATAGGTAAGATATTTATATTTTAATTTTTATGTCTCTTATCATACCCTCAACCCATTGAAAATAAGAAATATAATAATAATAATAATGGTAGTAAGTATGTAACGGACAGAAGGAATCATCGCAGACACCATAAATTATATATATTCTTGATCAGGGCTAGTCTGTCCGTCCGTATGTGCACGTCGAACTCGGAAGAAAAAGCTAGAGAAGTGAAATTTGGCATGCATACTTATGTATAACTCACCAAAATTTTTTTTTTTTTTCGAGAATGGATAAATTGGTCTCGTTTTTCAGCCCAATTTGAATTCTATTAGAACTGGAGACTTCAGATTCATTGTGTATATATATGTATATTTAATGAATACGAAGATTTTGTAAATTACAGACTTTGGATGCTACGCCCCCTTCGCTCCCAATTTCAAAAAGTATTGACTTGTGCTTTGGAATAAACATGATTACGTTCTGAAAGTTTTATGAACATAGTCCAACTACAAGAGAAATTATCAAACAAATAAATTGCCGACAATGTAGCGCAGTCTCTGGTCGAGCAGTCTCGACTAGAGCCTTCTTACTTGTTTTGATATTTAATAAGTGCAAATTGCATTAAAATATGTTAATATGTGTTTCTTAGGCTGCAAACTGGTATGAGAGGTGCATTCGGCAAGCCGCAGGGTACTGTTGCTCGTGTAAGAATTGGACAGCCGATTATGTCTGTGCGCTCCAGTGACAGGTACAAAGCCCAAGTTGTAGAAGCATTGCGACGCGCAAAGTTCAAGTTTCCCGGCCGCCAAAAGGTAAAGAGCAAATATTCCTGTTAACTTCTGATATTAATATGTATTTTATTATAGATCTACGTATCAAAGAAATGGGGCTTCACCAAGTATGATCGGGAACGATATGAAGAGCTCCGTGATGACAATCGCTTCGAGCAGGACGGATGCAATGTTAAATACCGACCTGAACATGGTCCAATAGCTGCATGGGAAAAGGCTCAGCGTGATCTTTATGCCTAAACTAAACCCCAATTGATCAATAAATTTATGGATCATTGTCCATACAGCATACAGATAAATATATTGCACCTTGCACTTGTTCATGTATATCTGGTTAACAACCACATACAAAATAAGCATACAAAATAGTGAAAAAGGATTTCATATGAAATTGTTCTTACACCTGTATAATATTCTATAGGTACATTTATTTTAGATTTCGAAAAAAAAACTGAGATTTCCTGCAATATGTGCTGGTTTTGCTTCACACGTTGTATCGGATGAAAGCCTGGATGAGAACATCGGCTTTCGAGGGGAGACGACCGATAAAGTAGGGACAATAGTATCCGAAATAACCGGCTGATTGTTATTCACTCTATGAACAACCAAAGGCGATGCTTTTAATATATTACTTGAATCAGTAGTAGACGAACTTAATGAAAAACCACAGAATGCTTTTAAGATATTTATTATTAGTAGTAGACTCTTGATTATCCAATGCACTAGTAGCAATGGGTGTTATAGACAAATCAATACAACTCTAGATCCAGTCAGAACTATGAGTAGCAAGTGATTTAGGCGACAACACAGAAAGTGATACTAGCATAGATGTCCCCGTTTGAAGATGAGAATTATCAAAATTATACGCATTTAATAATTCTTCACCAGCTTCTAGATTACTAGATAGCTGTTTGGTAATATTACTCAGCTCTAAGAATTGTACTCTCACTGTATTGTACGTGCTTGCAAAATTTATTTTTATTTTTAATTTTTTCTCTGTAAGTGAAAATTTGTTAATAAGATTTTAATGTGAATATATTTTACTATTTTTCATCACGAGGAATTCCTAAGTGGAAATTAGACCATTTTGCAGCATTGGGATAGTCGAACTCTCCCTGGAATAAATAATTATAAACAGACAGTTATAGTTGATTCGTGAACATCACTTAATACTAACCGTGATGTGATCTGGCTCATGCCAAAGGTGCCAAATAACCCACCACCACATGGCCCCCCCAACGGCTACTGCTCCAATTCTAGTTGCCTTTGAATGAGGCGGTGGGGCACTACGGTATGACACGCTAGAGAATTCAAATTGATAATAAATGACAATAGTACACACAAATTATATAAGGTTGCCGAAAAATCAAAATAATCAATTGATTATTAATTAATCAATTTAGACTTACACATGACTTTGTCTTTTAATGATTTTTTTGCTACCATTTAAAAAAGTAATTGCTTTCTCTGCCGCTAATACACTTTGAAAGACTTTCAAATTTCCGAACATTTTTTATGCTGGTCTACACCTAACAATATACATGAAAGCTAGCTAGTAGCTACATATGGAATTATATAAAATATCGATAAATACACATGTTGGAAGAAGCAGGTTTGATAATTATATTCGTGAAGTATGAAATCACTAACCACCAAGGCTGCCAGCTTAGCTCTTTATCGGCCAGATCTGGCACTTTTTAACTGCCAATTGGATATATTGTAATCTAGCTGCAGGCCGGAAATTTGTCATTTTTTAAAATCAAACTAGCATTATTTAAAGTGCCTCCAAAGTACCTGAATGTTATTGGCAAAAACAATTCGTACACTGCCGAGGAGAAAATTGATTTTATTGAGCTCGATAATCGTGTGTCAATTTTCGAATAAATATATGATTCATGACAAGTTAGAAAGTTCTAGTCGAGACGGCTTAAGTACGAGATGAAGCCTTCGAATAACTGGTATTTCAATAATTCTTCGCGTCTTTCTGCTTACACAAGAAACAACACATGCACACATACACATACGTGCACACGGATAATGACGCATTGGCTGCAGTGTGCGCCTACTATTGGAACTTAAGTGCTTAATAACTTTTCTTGTGGATCGACTTTTTTTACGGACATTAAAGAAAACAAGTAATTACGTTGAAGTCAGGCGTTACCGACTGCGTAATACTCATTCACATCCCATCAGCAACTTAGTAGCTTAGTTTAGCTCTAACACTGTAGAAAGACATGCGTATTTCATTTCAAGTTTTTATAGTCCACTAGCCAATATATTGTAAAGCATTTAATAAACATATAAGTGTACCCCGATAAAATTTTTTCGGTTGAAATTTGAATAAAATATTTAATTATAATTATATA